GCCTCTCCTCACGTTTCAATATAACTCTGGTAATAGAATTACCCCCCTCCATCTGTGCGTGTGTGTGTGTGTGTGAGCTGGGTCTGATGTGATTGGTTTAGAGATGGCAGGGGTCGTCTGTGGTTGGCCGACAGGTGAGAGGGGGGCGGGAGGTTAACGAGAGACAGAAACGCCAAGACACGCTCAAGATCAGCAGTTTGTTTTTCTGTTTTCTGTCTTTTTCCTTCTCCTCGCACACCTGCGTCTCTCCTCTCTGAGTGATTATTGGTGAATTAGCTAATGATCGACTCCCGACTCCACTGTCGTCTCCGGTAAAAGCAGAACAGGACAAAATAAAACGAGAGCAAACAACCAAAACATGAAATGATTCAAACGCAGACTCCTGAGACGATGAAGAAATGAATTTCCCTCTGAGGTGCAAATCAGTGGATCAGTTTTCACCTAGAAAAACAGAAATCGTCAAAACTCTGACAGACGTGAAATGCCAGAATCATTCAGTTTATCGAAGACATCGTGACGTCTGACATCCGTCCAGGACAAACGTCCAGAAATCAGCTTAGACCTTCAGAAAGTCCTGAGAACCTTCAGCATCACAGGAATCCAGTGAGAGCTGTCAGGACATCCATGCTAACTGCTAACAGGAGACGCTAACAGCTGATTCAGCTTCTTTTAGCTGTTAGCCAAAGGAAAAGATTTTATCTGTGAAAAGTAGCTGGACGGTGCAGTGACAGAGTTTGAACAGCAGGACAGGACACATCTCCAGTAAAGTTGGGCAGACCGGTTCCAATCCCGATATTCGAGCCGCACGACTCCCTTTAGTGTCAGCCTGAATATCGGCTTTGTCGGGTGTGGTTTGCTGTGAGCAGGGGAAGCGAGGACCAATCAGCTGCTACATGAATCTCTGACACGTCAGAAACTTTACCGAAGCTGAAGCCGAGCCAAGACTGGATTCCTCGCCATCTGTTTCTCTGACAGGCGGCACGTGTCTGCCTTGTTAGCATTGTGGCTAGCAAACAAACATCTGCCCGTCGCCCAGCTTTCAAACTGATCTTTATTGAAAAATATCAGTAGAAAGAGCGGCACTCAGGAGCCGACCATAGCTAATGGAATTGTCCAGCTTAAAGGTCGCCAGGCTTTAGACCCCTAATGGCATAAAACCAAGCCGATCGTGACGTCTCTTTAAATAAAAGCACGAAATGAGTAATACTCATATCTCTTGTAAAGTCTGAAACCTCCCTGAAAACACGAAAATAACAGAAAAAGAGTTTCCTGTGGATTCAGGATTTTGGGGGCCGTTCCCAGATTTCTGGCTCTGCTCACAGGTTGTCGACCTCTCCGGGTGTTTGTTGGAGAACGTTTGTTAAGGAACCAGCTGGTACGCACACGTACCGAGACGTGACCAAACTGGTCAGGACAATCCTCGGAAACATGGAACAGAGTCTGACGCAGAAACAGGTACAGTACTGAGGTTCAGAGAGGATGATGGACCGCCAATCAGAGCAAAGAAAGAACAGAACCTGAGGAGTAATACATTAAAGAAACGACTGAACTAACGAGCGCGTAGCAACCGATAAATAAACAGATAAGATAAAGCCAACAAAATGAATGAAAAGGAGAAGAGTTCAGACAGAGTTCTGTCTGAGCGACAGGAGTTCAGTTTACTGTCCTAGAAGCCCCAGAGACTGAACCAGAACCAGCCCACCACAGCTCTATGTCAGTGTTCACAGGAGAGCTGAGAGGAACCCAGAAACAAACGCTCATCAGCAACAGAAACGTGAACGAGTGGACTTATGTTTGCATAGGAATGTGTGTGAACTCATCAGTGTGTATTGTTCTCTCTCTCTCTCCTCATCAGTCTGTATTGTCCTCGCTCGCCCATCCTCTCCTCCTCATTTCCTCTCATCTGTCTCTCGTCTTCCTCCTCCTCTTCGCTCTGCGATGATTAAAACTCTTGTTTTTCTAATCGATTCTGCTCAAGGACCATTGATCTGCTGACACACACACACAGAGACACTTGTAAGCTGGAAATGAAATAAAGGAAACGTCCTCTCAGATGAAACTGCTCTGAGGAGGAAATCACACGTCTGAAGGTCAGACAACTCTCTGATTGGTCACAGAGAAACAACAGATGTTGAACTCAGGTGTCGCTGCTGCTCACTAATGGTGACAAAATGTAGAATCTTTGTCCTTTCGTACAAAGATCAATACACGTGTGACGGTCAAACTGCAGCTTGTTCTGTCAGAAGAACCAGATTTAAATTTGGCTGAAGAACAGCAACATAAACTGGACTAAACATTCAGACAGGAGGACGACACTGAGCTCGTCTGTGACTGAACTGAGACTAAAGACAAACACTAAAGACAAAGAATAAAGATTAAACACAAAGACTAGATTGAAGATTAAAAACAAAGACTAGACTAAAGACAAAGACTAGATTGAAGATTAAAAACAAAGACTAGACTAAAGAAAAAGATAAGACTGAAGATTAAAAACAAAGACTAGTCTAAAGACAAAGACTAGATTGAGGATTAAAAACAAAGACTAGAGTGAAGATTAAAAACAAAGACTAGACTAAAAACAAAGACTAGAGTGAAGATTAAAAACAAAGACTAGTCTACAGACAAAGACTAGAGTGAAGATTAAAAACAAAGATTAAGAAAAGATGTAAATGCTCCGTACTTGTATAGCGCCTTTCTAGTCTTTTCGACCACTCAAAGCGCTTTTACACTACATCTGCATTCACCAGTCACACACATTCATACACTGAGCCTAAGTGCTCAAACGGAAACTAACATTCACACTCACTCATACACTGGCGGAACAGCCGCCAGGGGCAATTCGGGGTTCAGTATCTTGCCCAAGGACACTTCGACACGCAACCAGGGGGAGCCAGGGATTGAACCGCCGACCTTCCGATTAACGGCCATCCCGCTCTACCTCCTGACCACAGCCACAGCCGCCCCAAAGACTAGACTAAAAACAAAGACTAGTCTAAAGATAAAGACTAGAGTGAAGATTAAAAACAAGACTAGTCTGAAGAAAAGACTAGACTGAAGATTAAAAACAAGACTTGTCTAAAGAAAAGACTAGACTGAAGATTAAAAACAAAGACTTGTCTAAAGACAAAGACTACAGTGAAGATTCAAAACAAAGACTAGACTAAAGACAAAGACTAGAGTGAAGATTAAAAACAAGGACTAGTCTACAGACAAAGACTAGAGTGAAAGTTAAAAACAAAGACTAGAGTGAAGATTAAGAACAATGACTAGTCTAAAGACAAAGACTAAGGTGAAGATTAAAAACAACGACAAAGACTAGACTGAAGATTAAACACAAAGACTAGACTGAAGATTAAACACAAAGACTAGATTGAAGATTAAACACAAAGACTAGACTGAAGACGAAGACAAAGACTAGAGTGAAGATTAAAAACAAAGACTAGTCTAAAGACAAAGACTAGACTGAAGATTAAAATCAAAGACTGAAGATTAAAAACAAAGACTAGATTTAAGATTAAAAACAAAGACTAGACTAAAAACAGACTAGAGTGAAGATAAAAAAAAAGACTAGTCTAAAGGCAAAGACTAGACTGAAGATTAAAAACAAAGACTGAAGATTAAAAACAAAGACTAGACTGAAGATTAAAAACAAAGACTAGACTGAAGATTAAAAACAAAGACTAGACTAAAAACAGACTAGAGTGAAGATTAAAAACAAAGACTAGACTAGAGTCTGAAGAGTCTGACGAGGGTTAAAATAAAGTCTGTCAGCAGCTCAACACTGACGAGAGAGGGTGATCGAGGTAGACTCAGAGCTGGAGAGAGAGAGACTCGTCATTAACAGTCTGAATGCTAACTGACAGCTGAACAACTAGCCAATCAAGGAACATTTCACTGCTCTCATGCTGTCACCATGGAGATGCCCTTCAACCCACTCACACACACAGTTGCAGACACTGTAAAAGAAAAAATGGGGCGAGGAATTTGAATTTCATAAAAACTTTAGAGAAACAGAGACATGAAGGAAAGTGAACCCAGAGAAGCTCGGCTGATTGACAGCTGTAGCCATGACACACAAACGCAGAGACACACACAAAGCTTTAAAGTGTGACACCACGCTTTTATTCTGAAGTCTGCCAATTATAGATTTCTAACTGTCGACAAAATAAACAACTTGCAAACACACACACATACACACGCATGCAGTTTATTTTTCGTTGTCGTGATGACTTATTGATTTGCTGTTCTAATAAACTAATGAGTCTTTTATTTTCTTATCTTCTTTTGTCAGCTGTGGACTTCCTGTCTGCGGCTCATTAAAGTGGCGCCACATGATCCTTTTATGTTTTTACTGTCGTCTTTAATGTCGTCTTTGCTCATTTCGTTTTAAAGTCTGTAACTCACACCTGCTTTTATTTTGACGCCTCAGTACCTCTGACTGTGTGATGTCACACTCGATGGTGACTTTATTGATCTGACATGTGGTCAGTGCTGCCTGTCACAAACTATACATGCTTTTACTGTGAAATGTTGTGAAAATAATGCTTTTATTATGAAGGCTGTCACTTCCAACCTTTACCCCTCACCTGTGCTTTTATTTTGACGTGCTGACTTTATTATTCTGTTGTTAAGATGCCGCTGCTGGTCACTAAAGGCTCATGCTTTTATTCTGAAGTCTAGAAACATTGACATTTATAATAAGGAAGTCTTTTATTTTGCTCACCTGTAACTCAGAAGCCTTAAATGTTACGTAAACCGTTCATATATGGACAGGTGCGTAGTTTCACGTAATTTCCTGTGTTTTCTGTTACTTGGATTCCTGAAAACATCTCCTCATCTATAAACTTGTTTTAATTTCCTCTCTGCCTGCTGTTCTGACCTTCCTGTTTATATTCAGACTTTATGAGCACATGTTTTTATTTTGAAGCCTGGTAGCCCTCACTGCTCAGACTTCTATTTTGTTCCCTGTGTGGTAATGACGTGTCACGTCCTGTCTGCAGGGTCCTCCTTCCTGTTTGTGAACACATCGGGTCGTTACAGCGGTCAGCGCGCCCAGCTGCTCCTGCCGCCACTCAAGGAGAACGACACGCACTGCGTCAGCTTCCTGTTTTACCAGGCGGGAGGCCGCGAGGGCGCCATGCCTGCCACGCTCAATGTCTACATCAAAGGTACAAATACTATATTACAGTACTACACACTCAAATACTGCAACATGGTACTGCAGTAGTACGCACTCAAATGCTCTCAGGTATGTCTGTGTTGGGGGGTGGAGCTCTCAGGTTTGTCTGTGTTGAGGCGGAGCTCGCAGGTGTTCACAGTGTTTGTATTTCCTGCAGAGAACAACAGTCCTCTGGGGGTTCCAGTCTTTAACTCTTCAGGCCCCGCCTACCACATCTGGAAAGGGGTGGAGCTTGCCGTGTCCACCTTCTGGCCCAATTACTACCAGGTAACACAAACACACATTTCATTTTAATTCAGTCAGCTGCTGGCTCCTGTGTTTCAGCATCTTTTCTGCTCATGTTCAAAACGTTCTGCATGTTCAGAATCTCTCCCACATCTGTTTTCACGTCTAGAGACCAGGCAGAATATTTTAAAGGTCTACCTGTCCTGTACTAGGATGACAACAGCGATTACATCTTCAAATCTTCCTCACATGTCCTATGTAATGCAGGGAAACCTCTCCACGTCTGCAGTTTCTACTACTGACCTGAGTATTTTTACTAGTACTACTTATAATACACACAGTGTGTACGATGACCGGAGTATTTCTGAATAGTATTCAGGCTGAAAAGATCCAGAAAAATCTTAAAATAAGATCAATGTATGAGTTTTTAAGATGGAACAGCACTCACACTCTCTCCGGATGTGGCTGATCCGTATTGAAAGCTCCTTTATGTGGCTTTAACAGCTCTGTCATCTCTAAACCGTATGACGGCTGCAGCTAATTGGTTCCACACACACACATCAACACACACTCAGCGCTCAGCAGCAGCAGGAAGTGACTTTCTCTCTCCATGGGAACCTTCTTATGCCAAAACGGATCTCGGCACCTGCAGGCGACGGCACAGGGCAGAGCAGAGCACAGTGACCGGCACAGGTGCAGCAGGTGGAGGAAGACCGTCAGGGAACCAGAGGTGCCAGTACAGTACAAGTACAACCCTGCTGTGGTTCTTCACCATCGCTGTTCTTCGCTCGTCTCTAGTGGAACTTTGTTCTGCAGCTGCTCACACCACACGGCCCAGCTGCAAAGTGATGCCTCCAGCTGAACCGTCTCACTGTTTTCACCACAGAAGAAGAGAGATTGATTTTGAACAATACAGCCAATCACACACACTCAGGTGTTGCGGGTTGTGAACCGGCCGCAATTACACCCGCCCCATCTTCACAGCAGGTGCCACTAATTAGCAGCATCACCACGGCAACGACAGATCCAGATCCAGAGAGGAGGTGGGCGATGAAGGACAGAAGAAAGAAAGAAAGAAAGATAGAACGAAGGAGAAGAGGTTAAAACAAGAGAAGAAGAAAATAAGTTGGGAATAAGAAGAGACGTGAGGCCGAGCAGTGAAACAGGAAGTGGGTGATGGCAGAAAGGTGCAGGAAGGAAAGCAGAATAATGAAGGGAAGAGGAGTCAGAGCTCAGAGGAAGGAGAGAAGGAAGGAGGGAGGGAGGAGAACTTCCTGTTTCTGGGCGCCAACAGGAAATGTGTGCCGCCACTTTCCGTGGCGATAAGACTGGAATGTACACACAGGTGAAGTCATTAGAAACCAGGACGGAGAGAAGACGATGGTAAAGAAACAGCAGCAGGTTCTGTTTAGTTTCTCCACATGTTCCTTACTGTTCTTTACATTTTTATTATGTACAGAATCTCACCAAAGTGAGTCCACCCCTCACATCTCTGTAAATATCTGATTCTATCTTTTCATGTGACAACACTGAAGAAATGACTCTTTGCTACAGTGTAAAGTAGTGAGCGTGCAGCTTGTATAACAGTGTAAAGTAGTGAGCGTGCAGCTTGTAGCTTCTATAACAGTGTAAAGTAGTGAGCGTACAGCGTGTATAACAGTGTAAAGTAGTGAGTGTGCAGCTTGTATAACTGTGTAAAGTAGTGAGCGTGCAGCTTGTGCAGCATGTATAACAGTGTGAAGTAGTGAGCGTACAGCTTGTATAACAGTGTAAAGTAGTGAGTGTGCAGCTTGTATAACAGTGTAAAGCAGTGAGCGTGTGTAAAGTAGTGAGCGTACAGCTTGTATAACAGTGTAAAGTAGTGAGTGTACAGCTTGTATAACAGTGTAAAGCAGTGAGCGTGCAGCTTGTATAACAGCGTAAAGTAGTGAGCGTGCAGCTTGTATAAGAGTGTAAAGTAGTGAGCGTACAGCTTGTGCAGCATGTATAACAGTGTAAAATAGTGAGCGTACAGCGTGTATAACAGTGTAAAGTAGTGAGTGTGCAGCTTGTATAACAGTGTAAAGTAGTGAGCGTACAGCTTGTGCAGCATGTATAACAGTGTAAAGTAGTGAGTGTGCAGCTTGCATAACAGTGTAAAGTAGTGAGCGTACAGCTTGTATAACAGTGTAAAGTAGTGAGCGTACAGCTTGTGCAGCATGTATACAGTGTAAAGTAGTGAGTGCAGCTTGTGCGTAGCTTGTATAACAGTGTAAAGTAGTGAGCGTACAGCGTGTATAACAGTGTAAAATAGTGAGCGTACAGCTTGTACAGCTTGTATAACAGTGTAAAATAGTGAGCGTACAGCTTGTACAGCTTGTATAACAGTGTAAAGTAGTGAGTGTGCAGCTTGCATAACAGTGTAAAGTAGTGTGCGTACAGCGTGTATAACAGTGTAAAGTAGTGAGTGTGCAGCTTGTATAACAGTGTAAAGTAGTGAGCGTGCAGCTTGTGCAGCATGTATAACAGTGTAAAGTAGTGAGCGTACAGCGTGTATAACAGTGTAAAGTAATGAGTGTGCAGCATGTATAACAGTGTAAAGTAGTGAGCGTGCAGCTTGTGCAGCATGTATAACAGTGTAAAGTAGTGAGCGTGCAGCTTGTATAACAGTGTAAAGTAGTGAGTGTGCAGCTTGCATAACAGTGTAAAGTAGTGAGCGTACAGCTTGTATAACAGTGTAAAGTAGTGAGTGTGCAGCTTGCATAACAGTGTAAAGTAGTGTGCGTACAGCGTGTATAACAGTGTAAAGTAGTGAGTGTGCAGCTTGTATAACAGTGTAAAGTAGTGAGCGTACAGCTTGTATAACAGTGTAAAGCAGTGAGCGTACAGCTTGTGCAGCATGTATAACAGTGTAAAGTAGTGAGCGTACAGCTTGTGCAGCATGTATAACAGTGTAAAGTAGTGAGCGTGCAGCTTGTGCAGCATGTATAACAGTGTAAAGTAGTGAGCGTACAGCGTGTATAACAGTGTAAAATAGTGAGCGTGCAGCTTGTGCAACATGTATAACAGTGTAAAGCAGTGAGCGTGTGTAAAGTAGTGAGCGTACAGCTTGTATAACAGTGTAAAGTAGTGAGTGTACAGCTTGTGCAGCATGTATAACAGTGTAAAGTAGTGAGCGTACAGCTTGTATAACAGTGTAAAGTAGTGAGCGTGCAGCTTGTGCAGCATGTATAACAGTGTAAAGTAGTGAGCGTACAGCTTGTGCAGCATGTATAACAGTGTAAAATAGTGAGCGTGCAGCTTGTGCAGCATGTATAACAGTGTAAAGTAGTGAGCGTACAGCTTGTATAACAGTGTAAAGTAGTGAGTGTACAGCTTGTATAACAGTGTAAAGCAGTGAGCGTGTGTAAAGTAGTGAGTGTACAGCTTGTATAACAGTGTAAAGTAGTGAATGTGCAGCTTGTATAACAGTGTAAAGTAGTGAGCGTGCAGCTTGTATAACAGTGTAAAGTAGTGAGTGTGCAGCTTGTATAACAGTGTAAAGCAGTGAGCGTGCAGCTTGTATAACAGTGTAAAGTAGTGAGTGTGCAGCTTGTGCAGCATGTATAACAGTGTAAAATAGTGAGCGTACAGCTTGTATAACAGTGTAAAGTAGTGAGCGTGCAGCGTGTATAACAGTGTAAAGTAGTGAGCGTACAGCTTGTTTAACAGTTTAAAGTAGTGAGTGTGCAGCTTGCATAACAGTGTAAAGTAGTGAGCGTACAGCTTGTATAACAGTGCAAAGTAGTGAGTGTGCAGCTTGCATAACAGTGTAAAGTAGTGAGCGTGCAGCTTGTGCAGCATGTATAACAGTGTAAAGTAGTGAGCGTACAGCGTGTATAACAGTGTAAAGTAGTGAGCGTACAGCTTGTATAACAATTTAAAGTAGTGAGTGTGCAGCTTGCATAACAGTGTAAAGTAGTGAGCGTACAGCTTGTATAACAGTGTAAAGTAGTGAGTGTGCAGCTTGCATAACAGTGTAAAGTAGTGAGCGTGCAGCTTGTGCAGCATGTATAACAGTGTAAAATAGTGAGCGTACAGCGTGTATAACAGTGTAAAATAGTGAGCGTACAGCTTGTGCAGCTTGCATAACAGTGTAAAGTAGTGAGCGTACAGCTTGTATAACAGTGTAAAGTAGTGAGCGTACAGCTTGTATAACAGTGTAAAGTAGTGAGTGTGCAGCTTGTATAAGAGTGTAAAGTAGTGAGCGTACAGCTTGTATAAAAGTGTAAAGTATAACAGTGTAAATTAGTGAGCGTACAGCTTTATAACAGTGTAAAATAGTGAGCGTACAGCTTGTATAACAGTGTAAAGTAGTGAGTGTACAGCTTGTATAACAGTGTAAAGCAGTGAGCGTGTGTAAAGTAGTGAGTGTACAGCTTGTATAACAGTGTAAAGTAGTGAGTGTACAGCTTTTATAACAGTGTAAAGTAGTGAGTGTACAGCTTGTATAACAGTGTAAAGTATAACAGTGTAAATTAGTGAGCGTACAGCTTGTATAACAGTGTAAAATAGTGAGCGTACAGCTTGTATAACAGTGTAAAGTATAACAGTGTAAATTAGTGAGCGTACAGCTTGTATATCAGTGTAAAGTAGTGAGTGTGCAGCTTGTATAACAGTGTCAAGTAGTGAGTGTGCAGCATGTATAACAGTGTAAAGTAGCGATCGTGCAGCTCTCATAACAGTGTAAGTAGTGAGTGTACAGCTTGTATAACAGTGTAAAGTAGTGAGCGTACAGCTTGTATAACAGTTTAAAGTAGTGAGCGTACAGCTTGTATAACAGTTTAAAGTAGTGAGTGTGCAGCTTGCATAACAGTGTAAAGTAGTGAGCGTACAGCTTGTATAACAGTGTAAAGTAGTGAGTGTACAGCTTGTATAACAGTGTAAAGTATAACAGTGTAAATTAGTGAGCGTACAGCTTGTATAACAGTGTAACATAGTGAGCGTACAGCTTGTATAACAGTGTAAAGTATAACAGTGTAAATTAGTGAGCGTACAGCTTGTATATCAGTGTAAAGTAGTGAGTGTGCAGCTTGTATAACAGTGTCAAGTAGTGAGTGTGCAGCATGTATAACAGTGTAAAGTAGCGATCGTGCAGCTCTCATAACAGTGTAAAGTAGTGAGCGTGCATCTTGTATAACAGTGTAAAGTAGTGAGTGTGCAGCTTGTATAACAGTGTAAAGTAGTGAGTGTGCAGCTTGTATAACAGTGTAAAGTAGTGAGCGTGCAGCTTGTATAACAGTGTAAAGTAGTGAGTGTGCAGCTTGTATAACAGTGTAAAGTAGTGAGTGTGCAGCTTGTATAACAGTGTAAAGTAGTGAGTGTGCAGCTTGTATAACAGTGTAAAGTAGTGAGTGTGCAGCTTGAATAACAGTGTAAAGTAGTGAGTGTGCAGATTGTATAACAGTGTAAGTAGTGAGTGTGCAGCTTGTATAACAGTGTAAAGTAGTGAGTGTGCAGCTTGTATAACAGTGTAAAGTAGTGAGCGTGCAGCTTGTATAACAGTGTAAAGTAGCGAGAGTGCAGCTTGTATAACAGTGTAAAGTAGTGAGTGTACAGCTTGTATAACAGTGTAAATCTGCTGTCCCCTCAAAATAACACATCACACAGCCATTAATGTCTAAACCGCTGGCAACAAAAGTGAGGACACCTCTAAGAGAAAATGTCCAAATTGGGCCCAAAGAGTCAACATTCTGTGTGGCCACCATTATTCTGCAGCGCTGCCTTATCCCCTGTGGGCCTGGAGTTCACCAGAGCTTCACATGTTGCCACTGGAGCTCTCTTCCACTCCTCCATGACGACATCACGGAGCTGGTGGATGTTAGAGACCTTGCGCTCCTCCACCTTCTGTTTGAGGACCCCCCCACACAGATACTCTATAGGGTTCAGGTCTGGGGACATGCTGGGCCAGTCCGTCACCTTTACCCTCAGCTTCTTCAGTGTCGTCACATGAAAAGATAGAATCAAATATTTACAAACATGAGAGGGGCGGACTCACTTTGGTGAGATACTGTATTATTTATGTTTATGGTTTTTGACCTGCAGCACTCACTTTATTGTTCTCTTATGTTCTACCTACTTTGTTTATTGTTAAGCTCCAAGACACCAAAGCTGATTCCTTATACAGGTGCATCTCAGAAAATTACAATATCGTGGAAAAGTTCATTTTCTACTGCAATTTAATTGAAAAAGTGAAAGATTCATTACACATGAAGTGAAATATTGTTTTTTTGTTGTAATCTTGATGGTGACGGCTTACAGTTAGAGCCAGAAATCAAACTCCAGGATCTCAAAACTACAAGAATTCAGAATAAAGAATTGATAAAACAGAAATTTTGACCTGAGCAGAGCTCTGATCAGCTGGTTAATTCTGAGCCTGGAGTCTCGTTCTGATCTTTTCACCATATTCGAATTGTCTGAGAATCATTGTGAAACTATTGGCAATAAAGCTGATTCTGGTTTGGTATAATCCCTTTTTAGACTCTTGCCTTGGTCTGAAACCCAGTTTTAGATTTGTTTCTAACTAAGAGCCAGTTTATCCAAAGCGACTTACAATTGCTATACATGTCACACGCCTCTGGAGCAACGAGGGGTTAAGTGTCTTGCTCAGACATCTACCAGATGTCTCACAGTGGGAATCGAACCCAGGTCTCCCACACCAAAGGCAAACATCTAATCTATGCGCCACCACCCTTATATAGTTGGCTCTGTCCAGACCCGGCTTTAACTTGTGGACTTGGTCGAGCGCTCCAGTTAGAGTTAAAACCCAGTTGAAAACTCTTTTTATTGCCAATGTCAACTTGGTTTGAAACCCATTTTAAACTCATCAGCACCCCCCGGACCCAAAGTCAAAGTCAACAAAACCAATACTATTACTACTATTACTGATAGTACTGTGAGTACTACTGTCAGTAATCACACCGATAATCCTGCTTTTGATCTCTGTGTCAGGTGGTGTTCGAGGCGGTCAGCACCGGTCAGAGGGGAGTTCTGGCCATCAAGGACATCGTACTGCAGGGACACCAGTGCAGTAAGTACACACATGCACTAAGAAAGGCCCGCCCCCTTGTAGAACACAAAACTAATTGGTTAACGAGGTTTGGCTTCTTAATTGGATAACGATGTTAAAAAGTTGGCATCGTAACATCAAGGTCAGTGTGTTTTTTATGTGGTGTGTGTGTGTGTGAGTGTAGAGACAGGGGAGCTCATTAAAATATAAATTGATTAGCATGGACTTTGATCCAGCTGCCTGTTTATCTACCTGCCCGTCTGAAGACTCGCATTTTAGATGTTGTTTTGTTATGTGAACACGCTGAGTGTGCGCGTGAAGCCTGCAGTAAACATGTTTGACCTGAGCTGTTTCTTGCTGCCTGTTTTTCCCTCGACGCTGTTGATTATGAACTGATGAAAACACACAAACGATCCATTTTCTGATTGGCTCGGTGAGATCTTCGCTGCCTGGCTCAAGAGATCTGGGGGAAGGTTGTCACCGTGGTGACATCAGTCAGGTGATGATGTCATTGGTGTGTGACCTCTGACCTCTGTGTGTGTCCTCAGTGAGCACACCTCACTTCCTGCACATTAAAGGCGTGGAGGTGAACGCAGGACAGACGGCGACGTTTCAGTGCACCGTCAACGGACGACCGCAGAGCAACCTGCTTCTCTACCTGCAGGTACCCATCAGTACTGATCAGTACTTCTGCATGAGCGATACTTCGATGTGATCGATTCGTTCATGCTTAACTTTATCATTTATTTTGGTTTTCATGTGTCTTATTAAACATACTTATCTTGTGTCTGTAATCAGTAAATTTCGTGTAGTATGCGTGTGTAGTGTTTGTGTAGTATAGGTGTAGTATAAGTGCAGCAAACGTGTAGTGTGTGTGTGTAGTCTACGTGCAGTATGCGTATAGTGTGTGTGAAATATTTGTAGTATATGTGTAGTATTTGTGTAGTAGTTGTGTAGTATGTGTGGAGTATATGTGTAGTACGTGTGTAGTATGTGTGTAGTATGTCTGTGTAGTATATATGTAGTATTTGTGTAGTATATGTGTAGTGTGTGTGTAGTATGTGT